AGAGTGTTGTTATCATTTCATTTCTTAAATTTGTTCAATTTGATGTATAAAAAATATTATTACTAGGTACTCACCAATTATTATGATAGTTAACTTATATCATGGAACATTTATTAAATTAAACATCAACAAACAACATAACACTATTACTGTTAATTTTGCCCAACAAACAAAACAGGACCTCATGGTCTTAAAATCATGAGCAACAAGGGATGCGTAATTAAAAAGTGATAACGATGCAAATAAACGACTTTTCACATCGATGACTAATAGTGCACCATGATTATTATCATATATATCTTGGAGTCGTTCCAAACGAAGAACGTAAGCATTGTGATTTGTTGTTAACATTATTCCCTTTTGTTATGTTGATTGGCCAATCCAATGAAATTGTATGCCACATTCCACACGCCTCTAGCTAGCTCTACGATCCACATTCCACAGTTTTCATTGTTTCAAATCCCACTTTTCTTCGCATAATTTATTTTCCTCCATCACATCCTACTCGTTAATTATTAGCATGATTTGTGATTATTAAACTGGAAGCAGCACACAAAATCAGATGACATATCAACCTCAACCATAGAGACAAAGATTCTGCGTGGAAGAAAGAAGAGTGAAGTGGGAACACCAGATTCTTTTCTTCACACAAATGCTAATACAAACAACGTTACCGTATATGTTGTGTGCCTAGGGCTGTTGGGCACAGTTTCCCATCACTTACTTTTACTTTTTTTTGCCCTCAGTGTTTCCTTTGACTGATATAAATTTGACCAGTCAACCAACATGACTGATCCCTATGATGTTCATGCCTCATGACCCCACCTACATCCCATGCCCCACCACATATTTTTGCATTCTCACACACATGTTCATTTCAATCACCACATGATAACATATAATAATACTATTATTTTCTTTTTTCCCTTTCAATCTATGGTTACTTTGAATGCTAGCTAGCCAGGGACTTATTAAGGTTACATAGGGTGCACTCAAAGCTAAATTTCCATGGGATCCAAAGGATCCCAAAGTGGGATCAATCATTGTTTGCTAATTTTTTTCCACAAGTACTCCAAAACGATAATGACAGTATGAATTATAGTTAGTATTATACTATTACCCGTTAGCCACTCTCAAGAATCTCATATATACGAGAATGGCTATGGAGACATAACACCCAATTTAGGAACAAATCATACGGTATAGAATGTACTGTGGCATGACATAATTGGCCCATTGTTCTACTTTTTCTTTTTGGTGGGAAGAATACTTAAATGCCTTATGATATGTAGTAAGATTTCAAAAATTGTTCTACAATGAGAATTTCGGTTACAACATCAAGATTTTTGGATGTTTGTAGCACAATAAAAACCACCATTATTACCATATTTGTTGCATTTGTCCATAATTTTTTTGCAATACAAAAAATTCAGCAAAACTATGAGTTTTTTTTTTTGGTATACCAATATATCATTTAGTTGAAAACTAAGAACTAATTTTCTGAAGTACAAACATCTATTTATGAAATTAACATTTTTCAACAAATATTTTTTCATACAACTATGTTATAGTTTAAAACATTAATATGACTATATAATTTAGTTGAATTTAATTTTTTTTAATCATATGTGTATCTATTTATCTATGGCATGGAATATTTGTTACTCCTTTTAACTATTTTCCCGGGATGTGTATACATAATAGCTATGATTTGTTAGGTAGCAATCAGTTCGGGTGGTTTTTGCATGTTGGTCTTGATTGTAACTAAAGAGAAAGAAATAGTGTGCCCCATGATTCATGTAAACTTGGGATTAAAAATTTATAAAATGCAATGATGGCTCTTAACTTTTCTCTAATTATTTTTTGAGTAAAGAACGAGTCCAAAGATACAGATCGGTTGTGAAAAAAGGAAAGTATTTCTGTGTTTTTTTTCTTCCTATCAGCTAAGCGACAAAACGGCATGTGTGAGGAAATACATCTGATAATTAATCTGCAGATGGATTAAAGAAAAGAAGAAGACGAAATTAATCATTCGATTCTGTATTGGCAAATAATGGTAAGTATCATACAATCATGTCCTATGTATTTGGCGGTTCAGATGAATCTTCGAGTCTGTTGTTTTGCTAAATTATGTTACATACAGTTGGAAAGAAAGGAGAGTGACCAATCGTGCATGCTGTATTTGCAAGGATATGCTCTAGCTATAGTGTGTATATACAAATAAAGTATAAATTATGTATATAATATAACAACTGGACATATACCTAGCAGATTTTAATAAATTATTGATCTAAATTAACAAATGTACTTAAGATTTTAATTATCATTTATTAATTGTGAGGAAGTCTGAACCAGTGACACTGTAAGATCTTTCTGGAATATGTAAGTTAACTTGATATTCCCATAATTGAATTTTAAAATATTAAAATAATGTTTAATCAATAGAAATAATATCCTTTTTTAATTGTTAACTTTAAGATATAAACTCATGAATAAATAATAAATAATAAAAAAAAAGAATCATTCATTATTGTGAAGTTAGAAGTTTTTACATTCTTTAAATTCATGTAAATATTTTGAATGAATTAATGTATGAATAAAGAAGATTATCAGATGTTATAATTTGACATGTATATTTTTTGGAATTAGTTTAAATAATTTTTCAATAAAGAAAATATTTTTTTTTTTATAAATTAAAATTAACTTATGTACCTTAATTGTTTGAACAGTAAAATGAGAGAAATTTTCCCACAAATTGAGGTGAACAATTTGATAATAATTAATTTATAAAATAAGTATGATTTTTTTTTTTAATTTCTTTCACTTCTAAAAAAGTTTATTATACATCATGATCCGAGCAAAACTTATCCATTAATGAATGTTGTCTAAGAATCCAGATAGATAAATATTCTTTCTAACCAACGCACAAGCAGGGGAGACATCACAGCATTAGTTAGCTATGTAAAAAGATATTTGATTTGAGGGGGGTATTATTATGCATGGTATATTAATTATTTTTGGCAAAAGATATTGGTTGTGGATTGAAGTGATTGTAATGGGTGTAGAGTGACAAGGAAAACAAAGTGCATGCAGGAGTTGCATCCAATAAGTGGGAGTTGAGTAAGACAAGTCAGAGACTGTGTTTCAGATTATTATTGATCATGATCAGGAATAGGGACCACCACCAGCACCAAAATTGAAGGGCCATGAGACCCCAAAACAGGTAAAGCAAAATTGACTGATGAATATGGAGTGAACAAGTGAGTGAGTGGTGACAGTATAGTACTGGTTAGGTGTGAATGAATAAACCAATGACCCTCTGCCACCCACATCGTCTTCCGCCCCATGTATGTATGTATCTATGTTAGTACTTGGTATTTCTATGTATCAACAATAGTAGCCTTCTTGGAACATGTTTTGGTAAATAAAAAATAAAAAAATTAAGATTTTAAAAACTTAGTATAAAATAACACTTAGGTATAAATTAATTTTTTTTTATACAAACAAACCCTTAAGCATATTAATAAATAAAAAAAAATCAGTTTCATGGTGATATACTTCATTGATTTCTATATTCAAAAGAGATTTTAGTAAAGCTAGACTCTCGAAATCAAGTTCTAAATAACATGGTGATGTCTAAGGTGATCAAGTGGCATTCCGGCTAACATGCTCATACTTAAGTTAACTTAATTACACATGATGTAAGGAAAAATGTAACAAATTGTTTACGTAAGAAATTAGTTTTTTACCTATTGGTTGAAAATATTGTTGATGAAAAAGGAAATTATGTAGGAAAAAAAGGGGAATGGGGAAACAGTGAGTGAGTGTGCACAAGAGAATGAATGCACCAAAAAGACGAAGGAAGAATGGAGATGAAAATGGAGATCCTCTGTCACTGTCATTAGTGTCCCCCTGCCTGTCCCCAACATCATTACAAGTCGACATCACTCGGACATTCAACAAACGACGACAATCCTTCCCTTCCATCATTTTCATTTAATAATATCTCCTTCCTACATCTTCTCTCTGGGTCCCACCTCATCATACACAAATCCAAAAACCATCACCACCCCCTCTGTCCACCAAATTGTGTTTTGTTTATTTATTTATTATCTGTGTCTTTTGAAAAACAAAATAGAAAAGAAAAATGGGGGAGATGAAATGATTAAAAAATTCAATTTTTTAAAGAAAAACAGCATGGGGACGCGGGTGGACGAGGTTTTGTGTTTGGGGGCTGAGAAGATCGCAGAGGTTTTGGTGTTTTTGGGTGTTTGGGCGATGGATTGTGGAGTGGATCATGGAAGAGGGAGTGGTGGATGTGTGGGGACCGTTGCTGAGGTGGGGCCCACTAATAGTTGCATCCACGCGAGAGTGGGTCCCACGGTGTGTTTTTGTTTCTTTTTGTTTTTGTGTTTTTTGGTTCGTATGAAACCGTTGCAGAGGAACAGAAGTAGTAGGGAAGTGAATGAAGGCACTCGAATTTTCTTAATGCTTTCTCTGCGTGCAAGCCAACCTCATCCATCATCTCGTACGGCAAACACCCATCATTACACTACCCTCTCTCTCTATCTCTCTCTTGGGATTGCTTTATATATAACCACCCCTACACCTCTGGTTTCTATTACCTCACTTTGCATGACTTCCTAAACTCTCTCTATTCTTATCCCTTCTCCACTTTCCTCTCTCTCTTACCCTTTTCTCCCTTCCCCAAGTACCATCATACAAATTACACACCAAGCTACCTACACATACCCACATACTCAAAAGCTAAACCTTGTACTTACTTTCAACTTCTTTAACTCATCACTTAATTCAGGAGTTCATATTTCGTTGTTGTATGGATGGATCCTTCTAGTGGACAACACCAGGTGAAATATTATTGCATATCATAATATCATGCATGTTAATTAGTAGTAGTGTCTATTTGGATACTGTTTAAAAGAGATTTTTGAGAATTTCTTTTCTCAAAAATATTTATATCTAAGTATGCAAACAAGTTTTAATGTTGTCTTATTATCTTACATAATTATGCCTTTTCATTTTAGTCTTTCATGGTTTTTTATTACTTGGTTTTGATTGGGTTCTGATTCTTCCCTAAGATCAGTATAGTTTGGATGAGTGAACAAGGAAATGATCTTAATTCACACTTCTAATAATTGATTTTATTTTGTTTAACGTTTATATAGGAAAGTTCTGTCCTTCTCTTGTTATTCTACACCATGTACTATACTATTCATGGCGTCTTTTTATGAAACTGATACTTGAATACAGCTGGGGTATGTAATTGATATGTGTCTCAACTAGAAATATGAGGGAAATTCTCTTTCAGTGTCAGTAAAGTACAAAAATTGGAAATTTAATTAAATGTATACTTGATGTATGTATTGCAATTTTTCAATATTAAAATTAGCCCTTCATTTGTGAGTTTATGTACATGTATGTAAGCATGAAATTGGGTTGAGTATTAATTGGTTATTGGGTATGATTTATCATGTGATGATCAATTGGTTAATTTGGATATGTTGTGTTTTGTTTGTTGCAGCAAATGTCTAACCAGTCATTGGAGAACATGTTGGCATGTTCAAAAGCACAACAGGATAGGAAGCCAAGGCCTCAGCCAGAGCAAGCTCTGAAGTGCCCCAGATGTGACTCCACCAACACCAAATTTTGTTACTACAACAATTATAGCCTCTCTCAGCCAAGGTATTTCTGCAAGTCTTGCAGGAGATATTGGACCAAAGGAGGGACACTGAGGAATGTTCCTGTGGGAGGAGGGTGCAGGAAGAACAAGAGGTCATCATCAACATCATCTTCAACATCAAAGAGAGTTCAAGATCAAGCATTCACACCCAATCACAACCCTCTCACTGGCCTCCCTTCACTGTCTTATGACTCTAATGACCTCACCCTTGCACTAGCAAGGCTTCAAAAGCAGTCATGTGGGCAATTGAGTTATGATGAGCATGACCTTTCAATTTTGGGGAACCCCACAAGCACCCCATGTGACATCCTTGGCAATCATGGCATGAACCCCTCATCCACAAACCCAGGGTTCTTGGATGCCCTTAGAAGTGGGTTCCTTGGAACCCAAAGTAACATGCACAATATGTACTATGGATATGGGAATGGGGACATGGGGGAGGTGGACAATGGCAATGCTTGTGGTGGGGTTGGGGTTAGTGGAGACATGATGATGCCTTATGATCAAGAAATGAGTATTGCCACCACACAGGCAGTGTCAGTCACTACCATGAAACAAGAACTTTGCAATGGAAGGGAACAAAGTGAGAATAGGGTGTTGTGGGGTTTCCCTTGGCAACTCAATGGAGACACCAACATGGGTGAAATTGACTCAGGGAGAGCTAGTTGGAATGGACTCACACCATCATGGCATGGACTTATCAATAGTCCCCTAATGTAGACACAACAAGGCACTGATAATTATTATTCCCTCTCATGATGTTTGATGAAAAAATATCAGTCTAATTAGGACTTTCAATCCTCTTGAGTGTTGAGTTAATAGGGGTTTGATTGATTCACTTGAATCATCTCCTTTTTCTTTCTTGTTTGTTTTTTTGTTTCTTTTTTGCCCCTTAAATTGTCAAATTTTTTGTACTACTACTATCTTTTAATTGGTGAATAGACTAATGGAATTTAAGAGGTTGTTTGCTAACTAAGTCAATGAAGTTGGAGAGAAGTAGATATAGAGCATTATTTCCTAATTTGACATGAGAGAGAGAGAGAGAAAGACAGAGAATGAGTGTGATGTTTCATGGTTCAATGCAGCCTGAGCCTGAACTCTCTGAACAGTTAGAATCAATTTTATTCAGGAGCTTTGGATTTATAATTCTGTGATGGTTTCAAGATATTCTTCTACGATTGCATCTTATTCTCACCAGGGTAGATTCTTAGAACATGTTTGTACTGACTACTGACTATTATGCATTATTAAATGAAATTAAAGCAGTTACCAATGTGACATTATATGATATGATATGATAGTGGAGCTGAATCAGCTGATGAGAATTTTAGAATAGAAATTTCAGTGAAGCATGAGCGCCAACTTTGGGGGGGATTTTTTCTCCCTTTGGTACTTGGCAGACCAAATCTAACTTAGGATTTGGGCGTGAGAAAATCGTCAGTAATAAGTTTGAAAATTATTTGAATGTGCCTCACTAATCAATGATAATGAGCTACACTACAACATCATAGTTTGAATTATTTAACAGGACATGGATTCTGGGGCATAAAAAATTCAATATAGTCAGAGGGAGAATCTGATTTGTTTGGCTGTCACTAATCGAGAATTCGTATGAAAACATGAAAATAGGTGTAGCTGTATAGCATTGACGAAGTGATTTTCCTCTTGGTTGGTTTAGATGAGATTACAGCTTTGTCCTTAATTAGTGGGAAGAGAAGGGCCAAGGGTTGATCTTTTAATTAAATGATTGTGACAAATTATAATAGAACTAAAAGGATTATATTTTAAATTGATAATATTTTAACCCAATAGATTGGTGTAGTGATTAAATACAATCCATTTATCCATTGTGAAAGTAATTCATGTAATGAAAAACTTATGTTTAATTCTTACCATGTATAAAAACTCATCAACTAATTACAATCATAATACTACGGGCAGAATTAGTCTTTAATCATGTGAGTTAGGAAAATGACAGAAAAAAAGGTGATATTTTAAAATGACCATCACATTCAGCTCAAAGAGCAACAACTTCAAGTACTGGGCCTACTTTGGTTGAGACTTCAAATGAGAACAAGGTGGAGCAAGTACAACTGGTCAAAGTCTTCAACTAGCACTATCTCTTGTTTATCTGACATGCACATGGCACAAACATGGTAGGATATTATTCTATGAGCTTGCCATCAAAAGTAAAAATAGTTTCCTTTCGGATTCTTAATCTGTATTCACAAGGTTCGCAATTTAAATAATGCTCTATCCTTTTGTGTTTTTGAAGGAATTTGATATATATAGGAGTAGGAAGTGTTAGGGAACAAAAGAAAATGCTTGCTTTGTTCCTAAAAGTGAATAAAATATTTCGGAACTAACAATAGCCAAAAATCTCTCAATAGTTAATATATTCTAATATTCTTGGGAAAGATTTTCAACACACTCAACATAGCCAAAAATAGCCCTTCAGAAAATGAAGCACCAGTGTAAATAACCAAAAAGGGTTGTCAACATTTTAATTCCTTGTTGAACATGGCACTAACATGGTTTGATATATATTATTCTATGTGGTCGCTATCAACAGTAAAATTATTTTTCTTTTATTTTCTAAATCTGTTATTCACAAGGGTTTATAATTTAAATAATGGTCTACCCTTGTGTGTTTTTGAAGGAATTGGATACATTCCAATGAAAAAGAAGAAGAAAAAACAAAGAGTAAAGAATTAAAATATACATGTGATAAGTAATGTGACGGAAAGAGAAATAGGAAGGAAGTTAAAGAGAAAATTGATATACGTTAATATTCTAATAGCAGTTGGAAATGTCAGGGAAAAAGGGAGAAAAAAACTTAGTTCTGTTCCTTGGAATTAAGTACAAAATATTTTAAAATTGATAATAACGAAATATCTCTCTAAATAATTACCATATTTTTATTTTTCTTGGAAACAGGTGTAAGATTTTTGACATACTCCAACCTAACCAAAAACAACACTTCAGAAAATGATGCAGCAGTCTCCAGGTATTAATTTTGGGATCCAAGTTGAAGCATATCATTTTCGAACAAAAAGAAATGCTGATGCGTAACGTAACTAATGGCCCAAGGGACGTATAAATTGTCTTGACACTTGAGTCACTCGGCACAAAACACAGACATACATGTTCTTCCAAGTTTAATAGTATTATTAATACACTTTTAAAATGTGACAAATTAACGACAGAGAGAATCCTCAGAGAAGACTAACAAGATATTTTGTCTTTAAAAATCTCCGATGTTGGATAATCATTACATCAAAATATCTAAATTTAAATGACAAGTTCCTGTAGAACCTAAGTTTCAGGTTCCACTAAAACATAGACACTAATTTCATGATATCAACTTACATAAATTACGTGTGCAAGCATTATAGTATAGGTACGGATATCCCACAAGGGAATTGTGAGTGATTGGATGTAAAGAAAAAGTTTAAAACAATATTAATAAAAAAATAAGTAATGATCGTAATGTGATTATCTAAGATCTGTTAAGAAAACTTTATTTATTTTAATATGCAGAAAGGTAAAACGCATACTAAAGAGGAATGGAACGAGGGGATGAGACCCCAATAAGGTCCAAAGCAGAGACAGTAACGTGTGAAATTTGAAATACATTATACATCTCCAGATTGTATCAAGTACATTATACATCTCCATAAATGATCAAATTTATATAGAACATCTTAAAATTTTCCACGTGAATGATTTTGACTATCAATCCAAACAAACCTATATCATTATATTACGAATAAACCATTAATTTAATCATTAAAGTATTAATTTCTATCCTAAATAGCCCTTTAAATAATAAAATTATATAAATAATCCTTGAAATATTAAATCGTTATATATTCCTTATTTAAAAAAAAATTCAAATTAATCCCTCAATGTTAATAAAATATATCAATGTAGGAACTAATTGATAAATTTTTAATACTTTTAAGAACTACTTGATAATTGTACTATTTAGGAAAGAGAGATACTTAACGGAGCATATTATTAGTGATGGTTTATTCATTATATAAACTTTAGAAAGATTTGTATTTTTCACCACAGTGGCAATAAGGTAGGGAAAATGCTTATACGTGCAGGGCCATAAACACGATTGCTGAATTTTGCACTCTTTAATGCCAAGTTCCAACCATAGGTGATTGAAGAAAGAGCAAACTGGCAAAAGACTAACATAGAAGCTATATTATAAGTATGTTTAGATACAAGTTTGAAACAATTTTAAAAGTTTCTCTAATAAAAATAAAGAATAATTTTTGGGGAAAAAAACCTTCGAAAGACACTTCTAAGCTTGTATTCAAATAGTCCATGTTTACAAAACAATCAATAACCTAACAAATAAACATGTTTTTCTTGCAAATCGACACATGAGTGAAATGTTCGATAAAACACTAGAAAGAAACTAGGGCCAAAAAGGGATAAAGAGAACCATGTTCTACTTCTCCCAAATTCTAAAATTGAAAATCATGAAAAACCAAAGATTGGGAATCCTAAAAGCATCAATTCAAGACCTAGGTTTCTCCTTCTTCTCTTTAAAGAGGGCAAGAAGAGACACCCCAGATACCTTCACAACCTTAAATCGGACTCCAGGAATATCTCCAACTGCATGCCCTTTTCGGCCAAAACCAGCAATAAGTACTTCATCCTGCATAATCATAACAAACATCAATCTTTAAGCAGAAAGGAAAAGAGAAACAAAATTAACTCACCCCAACAACACCTTCCCTTTCATCCTGTTTTAGGAAAACTTACATTTTCTTCAATGTAGTTCAAGCAACCATCATTTGGCACAAAAGCTGCAATCTTCTTTCCATTTTTGATTAATTGAACACGAGCACATTTTCTAATAGCAGAGTTTGGTTGCTTAGCCTCAATGCCACTGTAAAAGAAGTCAAATTTAGACAAATCCTTCATTAAAGCTTATGTAAAATTTTCAAGATGCCATCAAAAGAAAAGGATAAATTAGGCTAACATTTTTTCAAGAACAATGCCTTTTGCATGAGAGGATCCAGCGAATGGCTTTTTCCATTCATTTCCAAGATGTGATTTCTTGTATGCTTTGTCTGCCCACCTCTGCCTTCTTCGGTGGGACTTCAACTTGCGAGCCGCTCCCATACCACGTGTTTTCCTGACAAAGGAAAAAATGCCAGCCGCTGTTAATTAATTTACATTTCTTAAAAAAATATTAAAAAAAAAAAAAAAGCACAGGGCATATAATCATTATTAGTCCACCGATAATGGAAGTTTAAGTTTACTACTGAAGACGACATTAAACAGCAACTCAATTAACAAAAGCAATACACAAGGAAGGTGTTGTGCTATTATACAAGTTTGTTTGGATATAAGTTTAAAAGAGCTTTTAAGAACTTCTCTATTAGGAAAAACTCTTTATTTTCAGTAGAAAAGTTCTTCTAAACATATATCCAAACAGACTCTATGCTAATATTCCCCATGAAGTATGAACTAATGAACAAATTAAGTTTCACTAAATACAAAATTTCTTGACTATAGATGAAGGGCACCTCCTGCAGTTGCTATCCAATGGATGTCAATTTATCACAAAATGACGTTTTTAAAGGACAAGAATCACAAGATGATCCAAACATGAAAATGGCTCCTGAAACATAATATTCCATTTGTTGCTCCTTCCACAACCCAAAAGTAAACATCCATGGACAACTAAAGTAGACTACGTAAATAATAATTTGGACAAATATAAAGCATTTTCAGCTTAAAGCAAATACTCTAACAGTAATGCAAACACTCAGCTAAATTATACATAGAACCTAATGATGCATGGACACGGCATGGTATTGTGTCCCAAGTCCGACACTGTTTTGGAGCGGACATGCCACAATCGCGGCACAAATTGGACACATTTTAATCGCTAGCACATACAAAATGGACATCCCAGTTGCAAACAAGCACCTAACCAAGACGCCCAGTCGTGGACATGTAGACACGGACACAGTCAAACACCCCAATACGTGTGGACGCGTGGATTTGAGATTTTTTTTTTTAAAAAGAAAAATCTCGATAGAAACAAAAATCTCCTTACTTAACCTTCATGTAAGGGAACCAAAGTCCTTCGTATCAATATATAAATTTTTTTATCATATTATTCATATTATATATTATATATATGTCATGTCTACATTTCTTATGTTTTTTGATTTTATTGGATCCTGTGTCTTTCTCGTGTTTGAATCCATGCTACATTGCATACAACTTGATATAAGGCCACAAATCTATGACGAAAAGTATATTTTGATTGCAGAAAAATCTTATCTTTTTGGCAATTCTTGTTGTGAAACATAATTTTCTTAAGAAGTTCCACAACTAGAACTGCTAAGTACAAAGAACATCAAAATTCAAGACCAGTTCTTAATGGAACAAACATATATAGAGACAATAAGAAAATTACACAGAATGAATATAGTTATATATAAAGAAGAAAAAATCAAATTTTAAAATTTCTTCAAATTCTGGCGCGGGGCTAAATACTATTCCAAACCCCGTTTTAATCATGAATCATCTATGTAAATTGGTAAGAGCAAAGAAATTATGGCACGAATTTTAAGTGAGTTGATGAATGGAATGAACTAATTGTTGTGCAGCAGGTAATGATTGTTATGCTGAAACATAAATAACAATTCAAACTCAAAAAACTAATTTCATTAAGCCAAATGAAACTGACCCCATGGTGGCGTGTGGCGAGTACGAATCGCAACTTCTGAACCGGACGGATTGGGGAAGTAAGAACCACCTACAGCTACTCACTCACTCAACTCACCTCCTCACACTCAAACCCTAACCTAACGTAACCTTAATAACGTTTTTTTTTTCTCCTTCTCTGAGCAATATTTTAACTCAGCCCACTGAAAACATCTTAACGGCCCAAATGTATATTATATGGGCTAGGTCGAAAGCCTACTTGGACAAAAACGGCCATTTCCCATTTAAATAATCCGTCGATAATAGTGACTAATCTCGTTGGAAGCACCTCAAAGGGTGGGATAGCTGATTCCAAGATTTAACGCGACTGCATACACAAGATAAGATTCGAACCCCTGATCTTAAGCGTAGATCAACCCTTACTGCTGAACCAC